TGTGTGTTGTGTGTGTGTGTTATTGTTATTGTGTTGTGTGTTGTGTGTGTTATTGTTATTGTGTTGTGTGTGTTAGTGTGTGTTATTGTTATTGTGTTGTGTGTTAGTGTGTGTTATTGTTATTGTGTGTTATTGTGTTGTGTGTTAGTGTGTGTTATTGTTATTGTGTTGTGTGTTAGTGTGTGTTATTGTTATTGTGTTGTGTGTTAGTGTGTGTTATTGTTATTGTGTTGTGTGTTAGTGTGTGTTATTGTTATTGTGTTGTGTTTGTTATTGTTATGTGTGTTGTGTGTTAGTGTGTGTTATTGTTATTGTGTTGTGTGTTTGTGTGTGTTATTGTTATTTGTGTTGTGTTGTGTGTGTATTGTTATTGTGTGTGTGTTGTGTGTGTTATTGTTATTGTGTTGTGTGTGTTATTGTTATTGTGTTGTGTGTTAGTGTGTGTTATTGTTAGTTGTGTTGTGTGTTAGTGTGTGTTATTGTTATTGTGTTGTGTGTTAGTGTGTGTTATTGTGTGTTGTGTGTTAGTGTGTGTTATTGTGTGTTGTGTGTTAGTGTGTGTTATTGTTATTGTGTTGTGTGTGTGTGTGTTATTGTTATTGTGTTGTGTGTGTTATTGTTATTGTGTTGTGAGTTAGTGTGTGTTATTGTTATTGTGTGTTGTGTGTTGTGTTGTGTGTGTTATTGTGTTATTGTGTGTGTGTTAGTGTGTGTTATTGTTATTGTGTTGTGTGTTAGTGTGTGTTATTGTTATTGTGTTGTGTGTTAGTGTGTGTATTGTGTTATTGTGTTGTGTTAGTGTGTGTTATTGTTATTGTGTTGTGTGTTGTTGTGTTTGTTAGTTGTGTATTGTGTTGTTGTGTTGTGTGTTATTGTGTTATTGTGTTATTGTGTTGTGTGTGTAGTTGTGTGTTATTGTTATTGTGTTGTGTGTTGTGTGTGTGTTATTGTTATTGTGTGTTGTGTGTTAGTGTGTGTTATTGTTATTGTGTGTGTGTGTGTAGTGTGTGTTATTGTTATTGTGTTGTGTGTTAGTGTGTATTGTTAGTGTGTTGTGTGTGTGTTGTTATTGTTATTGTGTGTTAGTGTGTGTTATTGTTGTTGTGTGTGTTGTGTGTGTGTGTGTTATGTGTTATTGTGTTGTGTGTGTTATTGTTATTGTTATTGTGTGTGTGTGTGTGTGTGTTAGTTATTGTGTTGTGTGTTAGTGTGTGTTATTGTTATTGTGTTGTGTGTTAGTGTGTGTGTATTGTGTTGTGTTGTGTGTTAGTGTGTGTTATTGTTATTGTGTTGTGTGTGTTAGTGTGTGTTATTGTTATTGTGTTGTGTGTGTAGTGTGTGTTATTGTTATTGTGTTGTGTGTTAGTGTGTGTTATTGTTATTGTGTTGTGTGTTAGTGTGTGTTATTGTTATTGTGTTGTGTGTTGTGTGTGTGTTATTGTGTTGTGTGTGAGTGTGTGTTATTGTGTTGTGTGTTAGTGTGTGTGTTATTGTGTTGTGTGTTAGTCTCTGAGCTGAAGTTGTGTATTTCCTGTTGCAGTTCTTATCTCGTACTCACACACGTATAACTCCACCCTGAAGAGGTCGCCGCTCTCCATCGTCACCGCCCTCGTCGACAAAATCGGTCAGAACTGATTCCTCCTACTGTGTGTGTGTGCTGTGTTTGTGTGTGTGTGTGTCTGTGTGTGTGTAGTTGTGTGTGTGTTTGTCTGTAGTTGTGACTCTGTGTTTGTGTCAGACATGAGGCATCACGTGATCTACCCCGACTGCGACATCAAGTTCACGGGTCACGTGTCCTGGGTCGGCCGCACCTCCATCGAAGCAAAGATGCACATGACCCAGGTACAGACCCACAGACGACCCACAGACCCACAGACCCACAGACCCACAGACCTACAGACCCTCCACAGACCCACAAACACACAGACCCACTACAGACCCACAGACCCTCCACAGACCCACAAACACACAGACCCTCCACAGACACACAGATACACAGACCCACCACAGACACTTAGACCCTTAGATCCACAGATCCACAGACCTTCTCCACAGACTCACAAACTCACAGACCCTCTACAGACTCTTCACAGACTCTTCACAGACTCTTCAAGTGTACCACAAAACTTCAGGGACTTGAAATCTTTTTCTAAATTCTCCTCTCGTTTATCTCTCTCCCTCTCCTCCTCTCCTCTGTCTTTCCTTTATCTCCCCCTCCTCCTCTCCTCCCTCTCTCCCTCTCTCCCTCTTTTCTATCTGATCCCCTCCTCTCCTCTGTCTCTCCTCTGTCTCTCTCCTCTGTCTCTCCTCTGTCTCTCCTCTGTCTCTTTCTCTTTTCTCACCGCCTCCTCTCTCTCTCTCTCTCTCTCTCTCTCTCTCTCTCTCTCTCTCTGTCTGCAGTACAGAGACGGAGCGTACGCACCGGTGTTGGACGCTACATTTGTGATGGTCGCACGAGATCCCGAGAACAAGAGGTAAGACCGGGACTGGACCGGGACTGGACTGGACCGGGACTGGACCAGGTCTGGGCCAGGACTAAACTAGGACTTGTTCCTTGATTTCAGAGCAGCGTATGTGAATCCACTGAAGCCTGAGGGACCAGAGGAGGAGAAACTGTTCCAGGAGGGAGAAGGTACTAAGATTTTCTAAAATATTCAGACTAAAATCAGTTTGTTGTTTTTAAATCGTGCTTTGAATCGTGTTTTTCAGCGAATAAATCCCGTCGCGTGGAGCTGAGCACCGCCTCCCTGCTCAAAGTCGCTCCAACCGCAGAAGAGAGAAAGATCGTCCACAGCCTCTTCCTCAACACGCTCGACCACAAGTGAGGACAGGAGCGGGCAGGGCGGGCAGGGGCGGGCAGGGGCGGGCAGGAGCGGGCAGGAGCGGGCAGGGGGGGCAGGAGCGGGCAGGGGCGGGCAGGGGCGGGCAGGAGCGGGCAGGAGCAGAGAAGAGAATAATCATAGCTGTATTAAAGTGCTCGTGGCTCTTCTCTGTGTTTGAAGTGTTTTATTTTGTTTTCAGGACGGTGAGTTTCCGCAGCAGAGTTCTTCCTCCAAACTCCGTGTGGATGCAGGACGCCAAACTGAAGGGCCTGGAGATCTGCCACCCTCAGGTCAGAGGTCAAACACCCTCAGGTCACAGGTCAAACTGTAACATCATACACACTCTGTCAAATCATGGGACGTCACTGTGCGTGTGTGGGACAGCAGCCAGCAGGGGGCAGCACCAGATCAGAGCACAGGGACCAGACGAGCTCCTGTAACATCAGTGTCTCTTGTGTGTTGTCTTGTGTTAATTTATTTTTATTTATTTTTATTACTTTTTTATGCACATACAGCAGATGTCACAGAAAAAAATAATTACTAGTATATAATGTGACCATTCCCTTTATACGTACATATACTCATGCAAATATACAAATACATCTACATACAATATTTACATAAATACACAAGAGCACATTTGAACACAGAAAGTCTTACTCACTTATTTCTTTGGGTTAGTTCAAGAATTAGACCAAATTTCTATTTATTCATTTAGAGACTGAGATGAGATCAGATATGAAAGTGTCTCAGGAAACAGTCGTCCTCATCTCTAGCGCTGTTATTATTTAACAAGAGAAATTATTTACACTACAGATACAGTGCACTTTTGATTCGATACGATATATTTCAAAACGATTTGATACAGCTCAATAAAAAGATGATGGCTGTGACACTAAAAGTCTTTGCTGAATCACTTCTTGTACAAAGTTCATATGAAACACAAACATTGAAATCCTCAAAACAGTGAAAATATCAAATGTGTTTCCTTCCTCTAAACAAACAAAACTGTAGCTGTATCAAAATAATTTACCAAAATACACCAAAAAATCCTCTTAGTGATATATCGATACAGCAAGTCACAATATCGATACTGAATCATCACATTAAACGATACGATATATAGATTTATTGATGTTAGTACACAGTCCTGCTCATCTCCCTCAATGTTCACGTGTTTTTGTTTTAGTTAAATGATAAACCTTAGTTTCTTTCCATGTACCAGTAAGTCTTGCTGCTGCTGTAGTTTAAGTCACCTTTCCAAAGTTTGCAGTTTTAATTATCCATTCCAGCCATTTATCAAAAGTGTTGTTGTGTTTTGTTTTCAGCAAAGAAACATCTTTAACCGGATCTTTGGCGGGTTTCTGATGAGGAAGGCGTACGAGCTCGGCTGGGCCAACGCCTGCTCCTTTGGGTGAGATTAAAACTCTGTCTGCTCCTGTGAATCCACCAGGACATCAACGCAACAGCTCTATGTAGTGGAAAAAAAGAAATATAACACAAACACACAACGTTCTCTGTGTCACACAAGTGTTTTTGGAAACTGAAATGAACAAAAAGGCGGCTGGAGTTCATGGTTTTCCTTTTGGAGTGGAAGTAACTGTCTCTGTGAAGACAAAAAGTCTTAAAAGTTTATTCAAATATTAAAATGTCTCAATAATGTCACATCATCTCAGAATTCAAAGCCCAGTTATCACAGATCTCACCTGTTTCTCACTCGGCGCAGCTTTAACGTCTCCTGTCGTGTCCTGTTTGTCCCTCAGAGGCTGCCGTCCCAGTCTGGTCGCCGTCGACGACATTTTGTTCCAGAAACCGGTGGAGATCGGGTCTCTGCTCCTGCTCTCGTCACAGGTGAGAGGACGGAAGGGCATCTGACGCACGGGGAGGGCACCTGACGCACGGGGAGGGCACCTGACGCACGGGGAGGGCACCTGACGCACGGGGAGGGCACCTGACGCACGGGGAGGGCACCTGACGCACGGGGAGGGCTGTAGGACGGTGGGAGGGCGTCTGACTCTCCTGTGTGTCCTCTGCAGGTGTGTTACTCTGAGGGGAAGTACATCCAGGTCAGAGTTCACAGTGAGGTGTTTGACCCTTTGACCCGGACGCACAACACCACCAACGTGTTCCACTTCACCTTCGCCTCCGACCGCGACGTCCCCAACATCGTCCCCGAGACGTACGGAGGTGAGCGCCCCCCGCAGGACACGACACGCCCCCCGCAGGCCACGACACGCCCCCCCAGGACACGACACGCCCCCGCAGGACACGCCCCCCAGGACACGACACGCCCCAGCAGGACACGACACGCCCCCCCAGGACACGACACGCCCCCGCAGGACACGACACGCCCCGCAGGACACGACACGCCCCCGCAGGACACGACACGCCCCCGCAGGACACGACACGCCCCCGCAGCACGACACGCCCCCGCAGGACACGACACGCCCCGCAGGACACGACGACGCAGGACACGACACGCCCCCCAGGACACTGCACACGACACGCCCCCCCAGGACAGACACGACACGCCCCCGCAGGACACGACACGCCCCCCGCAGGACACGACACGCCCCCCAGGACACGACGCGCTACTGCAGGACACGCCCCCCACAGGACACTACACACTACTACAGCTCAGCACTTTAAAGGCCCATATCACACTATTTAGTTTTTTTCACACACGTTTAACACACCAAAAACCTGCAGATTTAGACTGAGTTCTTCTCTGTTCCACCTTGTGATGTCATGTGGTGATACAGTTGTGTTTTTAAACTCCACACACCTTCACTAGAATCATTTGGATCATTTTTTCATCTCTGGAGTTTCTGATCTCCACTGATCTAAAGGGAAAAGGAGCTGTTCACTTGGAAAGACCACTTTATGGCCCCATTCACACTAGTGTGTATGTGAGTGGTGTTGGTTGTGGGTGCAGTGTTCCCTCACATTAATCCGATTGAAAACAACTCCAGAGTCTGAACGATCTGGTGCCTCCAGCTCCACGAGTTCATGTTGGTCCAGATGTGACGGGGACTGTGTGACTCCTGAAAACACCAAGTCATTCACCCACAAAACACTAAGAGACTGAATATGTGTCCATTCATATAAACGTGTGTCTGTGTGTGCGACCTGCACACGTATAATGTGTGAAAAGTTTCACATGAACCAACAACACGACAGAAACACAGAACAGACTCACCATCAGCAGAACACCCCTCTGTCGCAGAGAGAACACTCCTCTGTCGCAGAGAGAACACCCCTCTGTCACACAGAGAGAACACCCCTCTGTCACAGAGAGAACACCCCTCTGACACAGAGAGAACACCCCTCTGTCGCACAGAGAGAACACCCCTCTGTCACAGAGAGAACACCCTCTCTGTCACAGAGAGAACACCCCTCTGTCACAGAGAGAAACACCCCTCTGTCACAGAGAGAACACCCCTCTGTCACAGAGAGAGAACACCCCTCTGTCACAGAGAGAACACCCCTCTGACACAGAGAGAACACCCCTCTGTCACAGCAGAGAGAGAACACCCCTCTGTCACAGAGAGAACACCCTCTGTCACAGAGAGAACACCCTCTGTCACAGAGAGAGAACACCCCTCTGTCGCAGAGAGAGAACACCCTCTGTCACACAGAGAGAACACCCCTCTGTCACAGAGAGAACACCCCTCTGTCACAGAGAGAACACCCCTCTGTCACAGAGAGAGAACACCCTCTGTCACAGAGAGAGAACACCCCTCTGTCACAGAGAGAACACCCCTCTGTCACACAGAGAGAACACCCCTCTGTCGCAGAGAGAACACCCCTCTGTCACACAGAGAGAACACCCCTCTGTGTCGCAGAGAGAACACCCCTCTGTCACAGAGAGAACACCCCTCTGTCACAGAGAGAGAACACCCCTCTGTCACAGAGAGAACACCCCTCTGTCACAGAGAGAACACCCCTCTGTCACAGAGAGAGAGAACACCCTCTGTCACAGAGAGAACACCCCTCTGTCACACAGAGAGAACACCCCTCTGTCACACAGAGAGAAACACCCCTCTGACACAGAGAGAACACCCCTCTGTCACAGAGAGAGAACACCCCTCTGACACAGAGAGAAACACCCCTCTGTCGCAGAGAGAACACCCCTCTGTCACAGAGAGAACACCCCTCTGTCACAGAGAGAACACCCCTCTGTCACAGAGAGAGAACACCCCTCTGTCACAGAGAGAACACCCCTCTGAACACCCCTCTGTCACAGAGAGAACACCCCTCTGTCACAGAGAGAACACCCTCTGTCACAGAGACAGAGAGAACACCCCTCTGTCACAGAGAGAACACCCCTCTGTCACAGAGAGAGAACACCCCTCTGTCACAGAGAGAGAACACCCCTCTGACACAGAGAGAACACCCCTCTGTCACACAGAGAGAACACCCCTCTGACACACAGAGAGAACACCCCTCTGTCACAGAGAGAACACCCCTCTGACACAGAGAGAACACCCCTCTGACACAGAGAGAACACCCCTCTGTCACAGAGAGAACACCCCTCTGTCACACAGAGAACACCCCTCTGTCACAGGGAGAACACTCATATTCCACTGAGTCGTGTCCTTTAGTCCAACACAAACTGAACCACATCAGACACAAGAAACAACTGTTTTTATCAGACACATTAGTTTATGTAAATGAG